CTGCATGGGCAACAGCTTGCTCCTCGCATTCTCTCTCCACGCACGTAGTCGTACACAGACACTGTCTTTGTCTCTCTCTCTCTCGAACACACACACACATGCACTCGCAGACAGACACATATGCGTACAAGGAAAATGCATAAACACACACGTACACAGAAATGAACACACGCACACATATGCATACACACACACACACACATTCTCTCTCTCTCATACACACACGCGCGCACACAAATACACACACACCCATCCACATACGAACACAACCACACGCACACACATGAACTCATAAATATGCACGCATATTTATAGACGCACACACACACATACACATACACTCTCTTGCGGAAACGCACATACACGCACATGCACACATCCACGTACACGTATATGCACACGCACGCTATCTATTTTTCTCTCTCAAAATTAAATCAATGATGATAATGTAGAAAGTAATAACAATAGTATAATGATAATGATGATAATAATAATAACAATTATCATTATTATTGTCACCATTGTCATTATTGTTAAATAGATAGCGTGCGTGTGCATATACGTGTACGTGGATGTGTGCATGTGCGTTTCCGCAAGAGAGTGTATGTGTATGTGTGTGTGCGTGTATAAATATGCGTGCATATTTATGAGTTCATCATCATTATTATCATTATTATCATTATTACTATTATTATTACTGTTATCATTATTATCATTATCATCATAATTATTATCAATCTGCAACTTCACTGTTTCCATTTTTGTTTATGATTCTGGTATCTATTCTTCTTCTATTTTGTCTCCTCCTTCTTCACTCCCGCATTTTTTTTCGCTCAGTCGCATTCTTTCATAATTTTTCACTCTCGTCGTTTAAATATTTTGTATTTAATATATTTCGTCATCTGTTTTGCACATTGTTTCCATATCGCGTATTTTTCATATTAACTAGGTCTCACATTTTCTTTTCCATTTTGTATTTTTACCTCCGCCAAGGAGGTTATGTTTTTGACGGCGTTTGTTTGTTGGTTTGTTTGTTTGTTAGCAGCGTAGCTCAAAATGTGATGGCCGGATTTCATCGAAATTTTGGGGACAAGTCAGAAAGGGACTAACTTAGAACTGATTAAATTTTGGTGACATTCCGAATTACCGTCTGGACGCAGCAGCGGTGTAAGTACATCCGAAAGATAATCATGATATTTTTGGACTTGGCTGTGTCCCGGGTGTCACTGTGGATGCAGTAGCGGTGCAAGTACATCCGAGCGATAATTATGATGTTCTTAATTAGACTTGGCAGCGTCCCGCATGTCACACTCATAAAAAAACATAATCACCGTCTGGATGCAGCAGCGGTGGAAGTACATCCGAACAATGATTATAATTCCTAGACTTGGCCGCGTCCCGCGTGGCATACAAAACACAGACACACACACACACACACACACACACACACACACACATACACATACACATACACATACACACACACAACACACACACTCACGCACGCACACACACATCCAGAATATTTAAAAAACTAAAAAATGTCGATGTTATAGATATTTTACCAACACTACCTGCGTTCTAACCAGACAAGACGCTGAACGTTTCCATTTGAATTGACCAGTGGAACAAGACTCTTTTTGCAAGTTTGACGCCAAACGAAAATTCAGTGATAGGAACGTTTATTAGCGGACTGAGATGAGTACTATTTTAAAACAATACTAGTAGATTGTGTTAAATTACTAAAGAATTGTATCAAATTATTAAAGAATTAATAATGTTTAGTCTGTGTTAAGGCAGGCGCACACTAGGCAATCTAATCGCCAGCGATCAAATCGCCGGCGATTGGATCTTGGAAACGTCAACGCATTTAAAAGCAAACTGTTGCCTTTTAATTGTGTATGAGGGCCTTTTTTCTTTTTTGAAGAAACTCCGAGCTGTCTGATCCTTTTCATCCTCAACCAAAGTATATATATTACATACGCACCTTGGCGGAGGTCTGCACTCTCTGAGTGCTTTTCTAGTTATTATTATTATTGTTATCAATATTATTATCATTATCATTATAATTATTATATGATTTTTACTATTGTTATTATTATTATTATCATCATCAGTATTGTTATTATTATCATTATTATTATTATTATTATTATCATTATTATTATTATTATTATTATTATTATCATTTATTATTATTATTATTATCATTATTATTATTATTATTATTATCATTATTATTATTATCATATATTATTATTATTATCATTATTATTGTTATCGTTGTTATCACTATTATTATTATTAATATTATTATTATTATTATTATTATTATTCATATCATTATTATTATTATTGTTATTACTATTATTATTATTTTAATTTTCATTATTATATAATTATTATTATTGGTATTATTATTATCATTATCATCAGTGTTGTTATTGTTATCATTGTTATTAGTAGTAGTAGTACTATCATCACTATTATTATTATTATTACCTTGTTATCACAGGAAAAAGTTCCTGGTAAGTTCTTCCCGAAAGCAAGCTAGAACAACTAGCCTCAGGTTTCGAGAACCTTTCTCAATGTTCTTGCAGTTCGTAACAACGCCGTTTTCTGTATCACTTCAGTCCTGATCTTGATCCCTATTTTCTCTACGTACTGCTCTGCTTCTTTTGTGACACACCCCAATGCACCAACTACAACTGGGATGACACTTTTCGAAGGCACCATAACCTTGCGATTTCTCTTTTTAAATCTTGATACTTTTCGATTTTCTCTTGTTCTTTCTGTTTTATTCTTGTATCTCCTGACACGGCTATGTCGATGATCAAGCACTCTTTTTCTGATTTTAGCTCGACGACAATGTCTGGTCGCCTATGCTCAATTTCGTAATCTGTGTTTATGTTAAAGTCCCACAGTACCTTAATGCTTTCATTTTCAGTAACGCCTTCTGGCTTATGATTGTACCACTGTTCTGCCCTGGGTAGGTAATACTTCTTGCATATTTCCCAGTGAACTATCCGTGCTACGTTGTCGTGGCGTCGCTTATATTATTATTATATCATATTATTATTATTATTATTATATTATTATATTATATTATATTATATTATATTATTATTATCATTATTATTATCATTATTATTATCATTATTATTATTATCATTATTATCATCATTATTATATCATCATCATTATTATTATTATTTTCATTATTATTATCATCATTATTATTACTATTATTATCATTATTATTAACATTATTATTTTTTTGTTATTGTTATTATTATTATCATTATTATTACCATTACTTTTTTATTATTATGAGTATTAGTAGTAGTAGCAGTAGTAAGTTTTATAAGTATTATCATTATCATTGTTGTTATCATTATCATTCTTGTTATTATCATTATTGTTTTTAGTGATTTATTATTTCTATCATTATTGTCTTAATTATTACTATCATTACTACAACTATGATTATTATTATTATTATTATTATTATAATTATTATTAGTCGTAGTATCATTATTATTATCATTATCGTTGTTATTTTTTTACGAATACTATCATTACTATTGTTATTCTATCATCATTTTTATTATCATTATCATTGACATCATTATTATTATATCATTATTATCATCTATTTAGAGAAAGAAACAAAACGGTGGGGAACTTTTGTATATTTCCAAGATATATATTTTTTAATTCGAATCTTAGAAAATTAGGAAAGTGAAAGGGGTCATGGGGGAGGGGGGAGGGGTCATGAGGTGGGGGGGAGGGTGCCATGAGGGAGGGGGGAGGAGGGCAAGGAGTAATGCCAAGGACTAATAACTCGCGCCTCATTATAGATAATGAAGATAATGAGGATAAAGATGATAAGAAGAAGGAAAAAAATATGTATGTATATATTTATCTTTCTATATAAATATCATATGCATATATACCTATACATGTATATGTATGTTTATATAATATCATATATATGTATATATACATATATTTAGAAATATACATATCTACATATACATATGCATGTATACATACGTATATGTATATATGTATGTATGTTTATGCATATGTATATATATGTACACACACACATATATATGTGTGTGTGTGTGTGTGTGTGTGTGTGTGTGTGTGTGTGTGTGTGTGTGTACAGGAAGAAGGAGAGGAGGAAGAGGGGGAGAGGGGGAAGAAGGAAAGTGGATCCTGTCAATGAAAGTGAATTTCCCGAGGCTGCTCCCTGGATTTCCCCCCGAGAAGCGCCGTAGGGGGGGGGGGGGGGTAGACGACACTCACCAAGGAACAATGTTCGAAGAGGCGTGTGAAAGGAGGAGGGGATGAGATGGAGGAGATCGATCCCGAGCCAGGGTATGCATGGCAGCGGCTCGTGGCATGCGCGCTCAGTGGGCATAGGAGCAGACTTGTATACATATGCATACTAAATATGTGTGTGTGTGTGTGTGTTTATATATATATATATATATATATATATATATATATATATATATATATATATATATATATATATATATATATATATATATATATATACATATATATACATATATATATACATATATATATACATATATATATATATATTTATTTATTCATTCATTTCTTTATTTACAAATATATGTATACACATAGAGACACATATAAATACACACACGTAAACACACACACTTCGCATGCACAAACACACATACGCCCATGTCAGTGCTCGCGCACGCACGCACTCATCCACGTGGTTATTTTTATAGAGCCCAACTTTTTTTTCTCTGTCGACATATAGAAGCTTTTCAGAATACTTCGACGAAAGTAATTTCTGAAAGTCTGTAAAGAACTTGGGCACGGGCGGGGGGGGGGGTGTCATGAGGGTAGGGGGGAAGGGGTCATGAGATAGGGGGGGAGAGGTTATGAGGAAGGGGGGGAGGGGTCATATAAGGGGGGGGGGGGAGTCGTTTTTGGGGTAAGGACTT